TTAGCTTTCAAAAAAATAAAAAAATAAATAATGTTTGATGTTTTAAATAATTACAATGATAGAAATTAAAACGTTAAGTTAATAAAATTTTCAAAATTAATTAACAATAACAACAACTATAAATAACATTAAACCATATATTATTTTTTATTTTCATTAATGAGTAACTCGTAGGTTGAAGTCATTCAAACGATTGAGATTAAGCAGTTTTAATAGATGTATATATTATCATATAGATCAAAATAATCAATATATTATATCAACTTGTATATAAATTACTATATCAAATTTAACAATAATGTTATTGTTATATTTAAGAAAACATATATTTGTAAAGATTTCAACTATATAGGTGTTTCTGTGCAACGCACAGGCATTCGCCTAGTATATATATATATATATATATATATATATATATATATATATATATATATATAGAGAGAGAGAGAGAGAGAGAGAGAGAGTGAGTGAGTTATGTCATTAAAAAATCTGAGTAAATGGGTTTAAAAATGACACGACAGAACAATCAAAATTAGTGTGCAGTTCGTGCCTAAATTAAAAACCCTATACTAGATTGGTGTGTCAAAAGAGAAACCCATAAACTTTTGTTCTCCATGGCATTATATTGTTGTTTTGGGAACTTCAAAAAGGGATTGTTTTCAATTGTTTTGGGAACTTCAAAAAATGGGAGAATTTCGTATACGCCCTTGCTAAACAACTAAATATCGTATTTGTCCGGCCTAAATTCTAAATATCGTATTTGACCTTCTTAATGTTTTTTTAAATCATAAATACCCAAATCTACTTTTTTAAAATATTTTTATTGATTTATAATATTTTTTACCATTTTAAAGCAAAAAAACATTTGAAATAGACAGTTTTGCCCTTCTTCTAAATTCCAAAATCATCCTCACTTGAACAAATAGAAATCGCAGATGCCTTGCGTCCTGCTTCATGAATCGTAATCCCTTGCATCTCCATTGATCAACAATCGCACACAATCGTCGATCAGCAATCACACGTTGAACTTAGTTGTTATCGGTTCTCAGATTCATTGCGTCTTGCAACTTCCTTCCGTCTTGCACTTCCTTCCGATTACAGCTTCCTTCCGTCTTGCAGCTTCCTTCCGATCGCAGCACACAACATGCTTCTTCCCCCTATTGTCTCACACTCACACCATCACATCAGGTAATGTCGATTTCAAGCTATTCCTATATTCTATCTCTTCAATTTCGTTTTTAGGGTTCCTAGTTTCAATTGTTCAAATTATTTTAACAATCAGTTTAGTTATGTTGTATTTGATAGCTTAGTTGTTTTGATTTGAGCTACAATCAGGTTTCCAATGAACTTCGAACTTTTAATATTCTACATGATGCAAATCTAGGGTGCTTTACTTGGTGGTTGTAGAATTCACAAGAATGTGGAACTTGCTTCCAAAATTGGTCAAAAGATAGGTGATTTCAATCTTGAAGATGATAAAGTTGTTGCTTATTTAGTGATATTGTCAAATGTGCTTATTTAGTGCTATTGTCAAATGTATATGTTGGTTTTAAGAGGTGGAAAGATGTTGCAAATGTTGTCTCACACTCACATCATCGCATCAGGTAATGTCGATTTCAAGTTATTCCTATTTTCTATCTCTTCAATTTCGGTTTTAGGGTTCCTAGTTTCAATTGTTCAAATTCTTTTAAAAATTAGTTTAGTTATGTTGTATTTGATAGCTTAGTTATTTTGATTTGAGCTACAATCAGGTTTCCAGTGAACTTCGAACTTTTAATATTTTGCTTGATGCAAATCTAGGGTGCTTTACTTGGTGGTTGTAGAATTCACAAGAATTTGGAACTTGCTTCCAAAATTGTTCAAAAGACAGGTGATTTGAATCTTGAAGATGATAAAGTTGTTACTTATTTAGTGCTATTGTCAAATCTGCTTATGTAGTGCTATTGTCAAATGTATATGTTGGTGCTAATAGGTGGAAAGATGTTGCAAATGTGAGGGAGTATATGGTTAAAATGGCACTTAAGAAGCCTCCTGGAAGAAGTTGGATACAGATTGGTGGATCAGTTCATGAGTTTTTAGCAGGTGATAGGAATCATAATAACCACGATGTGTCTTTGATTTATGAGATGCTTCTTTTAGTCACCATGGAATCATGATTAACTCGACACAAGCCTGATGTTTATGAGTCAGCTCAATCTTATATAACTCAAAAGGTAAAGCTACATTATATGTTCTTGAAATTTTACAAATTTACATACGCTATGATGTTGTCAAGATCCATATTTTATGGTCACATTTATATAACAATGTTTGTTGAAAATGCTTTAAATGGGTGTTATATGTTTAACTTTTTATTTTTATTTATTTATTTATTTTTGACAGTTTAAGATATGCACAATGGAAACCAGTGTTATGAGTTATGACTTGTTAAGGGGGTAAATTGGGAAATAAGTTGTTTAGAAGGTGATATATTGGAAGACATGGAATATGGTGTTTGCCATCCTTAATTATTAAGTTTGACATGTTTCTTTGTTGCTGCTGGTGTAGGTTTGACATCCAAAGCATAAACTATTTGACCATATGCTAAAGCTGAAGCTGGGTTACAAGCCACAAAAGAAAACGTACTCAATATCCTCAAATTCACTACACCAACAAAATGATTTTTGGGGGACTCTTTGCATTACCTTTACCTGGTAATGAAGGGTTTCCAATATATTGTATCCAAGAGCTTTCAATCAATAATTTGATCCACTACTCATCAAATGAAGAGATATAAAAGAAGGGTTAAATTCTAGAAATAGCATCGTACTTTGAGAAATTCATAAGATATAGCATTGAACTTTCTTAATTTTGTAATAGTTAATTACATTAGCTATATTTATGATCTGAGTACTTCTTAATTTTAATATATACAATTTTTGTCCATAAAGAATATATTTGGAATTAATTATAGTTTGATCCCTCTTTTTAAAATTTATCACTTATTATATTTTGGTGCTTATACTTTTTAAATTTACACTAATTACTATTTGGTCTGTATAATTTTTAATTTAGCAATTATTACAGTTTGGTCCCTGCATTTTAAATTTTCACTTATTACAGTTTGGTCCCTGGTCTTTAAATTTGCACTTATAACAGTTTGGTCCTTGGATTTTAAATTTGCACTTATTACAGTTTGGTCCCTGGTCTTTAAATTTGCACTTATGACAGTTTGGTCCCTGGATTTTAATTTGGCACTTATTACAGTTTGGTTCCTGGTCTTTAAATTTTCACTTATAACAGTTTGATCCTTGGTTTTCAAATTTCATTTATTACAGTTTGGTCCACGGTCTTTAAATTTGCACTTATGACAGTTTGGTCCCTGAATTTTAAATTTGCACTTATTACAGTTTGGCCCCTGGTCTTTAAGTTTGCACTTATGACAATTTGGTCCCTGAATTTTAAATTTTCACTTATTACAGTTTAGTCCCTGGTCTTTAAATTTGCACCATATATACGAATTTGACAACAAATGCAAATTCATGAAAAGAAAATAAATATCAAAATATTTATTTATGTCACATACTAACAAAAAAAATCCATCAATTGAAACCTAATTAAGAACATTTACTACTTAAGCTAACAAAATTATCAAAAGCACCAACTAATTGCACGAGCTTTTTTTATGTAGACCCCGAAACTCCCAAATCACCATGCAATTTTGTATTGTTTCAACGTTTCCTAAAATGAATAAAAAATTTATTTTCATTGTTAGTATTGTCATTTACTAGAAAAAAAATGGAAATTTAAGTAACCTTTTAGAGGTGGCTGTTTCACTTTGATCGAAACTCCAGATGCTGGATTTTTACATGTATTTAGACGATGTCCATACTCACCACATCGCGGACACTTGTGTCTTCTTTTAGACTCATCTGATGATTTAATTCTATTTTTTCTTGGTCGTCCAGGTGGGCGTTTGATAATAGTTGGATATATTGTGTCCCCATTTTCTTTTTGCCCATTGATCCTGTCCAGGCATCAGAGCAATTTGAAAAGCATATGCAGATTTAAATTTCTCTATAGTGAAATAGGGGTCAACATATTTTTCCCAGTTAGCATCTCTTATAAAAGCAATAAAAGCTGTTGCATGTACACATGGTCGACCCTAAACTTGCCACACTCGACAACTACATTTTCTTTCATCTAGGTTGACCTCCCAACGTGTTCCCTTGTACTTCACTTCATCTTGATTCTCACAACTTCTAGTAACTTCATATTCACCAAAGTTCTATATGAAAAATAAAAAAACATATATATTTTAGATATATGCATTATTGAAGTAAAAACTAAAACAAATATAGTTATTCAACCTAATTATTTAGCATGCTTACCTTAGCGATGTCGTTGAGATGATTTTTAGCAATAGGAACCAATACGCCAATCTACATATTCACTAAATTCCTTTTCTTATCAAACCATTTCATAATCTTTTCCCTAATTATGTCAAGAAGATCAAACATGGGTTTATAGCGCATTTACCAATCCAAGAATTAAATGTTTCTGAAACATTATTAGTGATGTAATCACACTTTGAAGTAGTTCCAAACTTGCTTCTACTCCATATTTTTTTTGTGGTTGCCATTTAGATATGCAATGGCATCTTCATTTTTATCACTAGTTTCCTTTAATAACTTGTCATGCTTGGTAGGGGTTTTCGCAGCAGCCCATAGTTTGGTGTTAAAGAAGTCACCACGAAAGTGTTTCTTGAAGTTGCTATATAAGTGTCTTATACATTCTCTATGCTCAACATTAGGATAAACATTAATGATGGCTACTTCTAACCCTTTATGCATTTCCGATGAGATAACAAGACCATTTGGCGTTCCAATTGATTTTTTAAGTGAGTCAAGAAACCATGTCCATGACTATGTGTTTTATGATTCAGGCACACAATATGTTATTGGAAAAATAGAATTGTTACCATCAATACCAGTTGCAGCGGCTAGGACACCATTAAACTTTCACTTTAAATGACAAGCATCAAGACCAATATACGGACGACAACCAGCAACAAACCCTCTAGAACAAGCTGCTAAACAAATAAAAAACCTTTTGAAAAGTTTCTTTCCTCCAACTTTGTCAAAGTCAATTTCAACAACGCTTCCTTCCTTCCTTTTTAATAGTTCTTCTCTAAATTTGTCCATCTTCATGAAAGAGTTTTCCCACTTACCATACATGTCAGTATAGGCTTGCTCTTTCCATCTAAAAACTTTTAGGTACGACACATCAACATTGTAAGTTTTCATAATCCAATTTCTAAGCTTATATGGAGAGACATCCCCATCAGATTTCAACTTGTTAGTTACTACATTAGCAATCCAACCTTGAGTGGCACGCTTATTGCCACCCTTGTTTCTTCGAGTGCAAGTATGTACTTGTACCATTTTTTTAACCTAAAATAATTAAATAAACATAGATATATTTTTATTATAAAGCATGTTAAATATAACTTAACGTATACACTTACTTCAAAGGTAACTTCATCTTGTGTAATAGAAGCATGAATTCTCCACTCACATTCTAGGTTTTCGCACCTTGCTATGAATCGTGTCGGATCACTTTTCTGAATGTAGTAGTTAAAGTCATTTGTGACTGCAAAGTGGTTCAAAGCTCTCCTAAAATCAACCACGTTTTCAAATTTTGAGCCGACTTCCATTCTCATACTAATCTTACTAAATGATTTAACATCATCATATTCATCATTCATTAGACCGTTGTAACGACCCAAATTTCACGTCTAAAAATTTCGTTTTAAAAACATTACTTTTAGAAAAACATTAATATTTAAAAGAACATTGTTTGATCAACCATAACAAACGTAAGCCATGTCTAAAAGTCAAGTCATACAACCACCAAAATATCAGAGTAAAAATCCCAGAGAATCTCGTAAGTGCGGAAACCCGTGTGTGTGTATGATGTGCCGCTACCGCGCCGGCTCCTTCCCCTTTGACGAAGAGGTACCTGAAACCAAAACTGCAAACTGTAAGCACAAAGTTTAGTAAGTTCCCCCATCGTACCACATACCATACAAACACATAACATATATACTGTCAGGCTATTCTGGGGTGCCTGACTACCCGGTACGGCCATTCTGGGGTGCCGACCTACCCATACGGCCATTCTGGGGTGCCGTCCTACCCGTGTCAAGCCATTATGGGGTGCTGACTACCCATGTCAAGCCATTTTGGGGTGCTGACTACCCATCGGTCCTAACAACCGATCCTCGGGGACTAGTCCCCTCCTACTACCACTATCGCATATAACATAACAGGCCAGCATGCAAACATATCATCACGTACTGTCAGACATTTCTGGGGCGTCTGACTACCCTCCGGTCCTAACAACCGAACTCTACTATTATCACACATAACATATCATGCTAGCATATAACATACCAGGTAGTAGTAACTTAGATGATATCACAAAGACAATCATCTAACATATGACTCCTACTGATGGGCCGACATTGTGGCCGTAGACCTACCACTACTGGAAGGTAACTCACCTCGAAGTAGCTGCTGAACTGAGCGGGAACTGATTGTCTACTGCTGCTGCTGCTGCTCCGGAAATCCTCCGGCTGCAATTCCCACAACATACTCAATCAAACACTGCTAACTGTCCTTTGGGTAAAATGACCACTTTACCCCTGATCATGACCTAGGTCAAAATCAGAGTCAACTTTCAGTTGACCAGACTCGCCGAGTTGGCTTTCCAACTCGCCGAGTCCCTACCCAAACGTTGCCCTGAATCCCGTTCCTACTCGTCGAGTTGGGCGACGACTCGACGAGTTCTCCTTCTTAACAGATACTCAAGTCCTTCATCCTACTCTCCGAGTTGTATGAACAACTCGTCGAGTTCATCTTCATCCGATGAACACTTATGCTAAGACTCGCCGAGTTGTATGAACAACTCGCCGAGTCTGTTCTTGATCTAAGGAGATTGCCTTGAACTCGCCGAGTCAGGGCATTGACTCGCCGAGTACCTCCACAGATGAGTTTAGCTTCCGACTCGCTGAGTCACACCCCGTGACTCACTGCTCACTCGACACTACGAAAAGGGGACAAACTCGGAGACTCGCGAACAAACTCGCCGAGTCAAATGAACGACTCGCCGAGTCGTTGCCATGCACCCACTAAATACACCGATTTGCTCGATTACAGTCCATGCCATTCACAGATCTGGACTTCTAGGACATGAATCACACGTAAATTTTCCAACTTTACGTGTAGATATTCACCAATATGGATTTTAGGGCTCAAAATGCCTTAAAAGGGTAGATCTAGGGTGAACAAGCAACATGGGGCCATAAAGCTAACAGATCTGAGCTCCTGGAGCTCAATCTTGCCTAGATCTAGAGGCCAAACATCTTATTACGACATATAAGGCACATACAAGCTTGGGGATTTGACCAAGAAAGACCTAAATGAAGTACTAAGCATAGAATCATGGGGAAAACGGGTTATACCTCAAAGGAACTGCTGGAAGGACACAATAATGCCTGGATGGCTTCCCTTCTTCTGGATCTACTTCCTTCCTCCTTCAAAGCCTTCAAAAGCACACAACAAAGCTTCAATTCTTCAAAGAACAAGCATAAACGAGGGTTGGGAGCTCTGGGGAGAGAATGGGGGCTGGCCTGGGGCGGATAAGTCGCTTAAATAGGGTGCAAACCCCTGAAACTTAGGGTTTCATCCAACAGCTGTGACTCGCTGAGTCCAGGATATGGACTCACCGAGTCGCCAACTTAAACGTGTCCCGGGTCCCGCATCCACTCGGCGAGTCAGACCTATGACTCGCCGAGTCCAAGGCTAAAACAAAAGGAAATACTTCAAATAAGATTTACGTAACAGGAACCGGGTGCTACAAATCTCCCCCACTTATTTTAGACTTCGTCCTCGAAGTCTGCTGCTCGATCCTGAAACAGCTCGGGGTAATGCTCCATCATCTCATCCACCGGCTCCCAAGTCCATTCCGAACCCTTGCGGTGCTGCCATTGCACCTTCACCAGCTCCACCCTCTTGTTCATCAAATCATTCGACTTCCTGTCTAGGATTGCGACTGGGCGCTCTATGTAATTCAAGCTGTCATCAACCTGAATGTCCTCCAACGGCACAACTGCTGAATCGTCCACTAGGCACTTTCACAGCTGAGAAAAATGGAAAGTGTTGTGGATCTGGCTGAGCTCGGTTGGCAGATCCAACCTATACGCCACCTTGCCCACCCGGGCTACAACCCTGAACGGTCCGATGAATCTCGAGCCCAACTTGCCCCGCTTCCTGAATCGGATGACGCCTTTCCAAGGCGACACCTTCAGGAGAACCATATCCCCGACTTGAAACTCCAAGTCGGATCGACGCTTGTCAGCGTAACTTTTCTACCGACTCTGAGCAGTCTGAAGCTTGCTCTGGACCTGCTGAATCCTCTCGGTCGTCTTGAGCACCACTTCGGTGCTCCCCAAGACTCTCTGGCCAACTTCACCCTAGCATATCGGGGTCCTGCACCTTCGTCCGTACAACAACTCAAATGGAGGATGATCAATACTCGCGTGATAGCTGTTGTTGTATGAGAACTTAGCCATGGGAAGATAGGTATCCCAGCTACCACCAAAGTCTAGCACGCATGCCCGCAGCATATCCTCCAGAGTCTGGATGGTCCGCTCGCTCTGACCATCCGTCTGTGGATGAAAGGCAGTGCTGAAATGCAGACGAGTGCCCAACTCGTCATGGAATCTCTTCCAAAATCTGGAAGTAAAACGCACATCCCTGTCCGAGATCACCGATACCGGCACCCCGTGCCGCGCCACGATCTCCCTGATATAGAGGTCGGCCAATTTCTCAGCCGATATGCTCTCCTGAATCGGAATAAAATGAGCACTCTTGGTCAATCTATCCACGATGACCCAAATCGTATCCACTCCACGTGCGGTCCTGGGAAGCTTCGCGATAAAATTCATCGTGATATCTTCCCACTTCCACAGTGGAATATCCAACGGCTGCATCTTGCCATGCGGTCTCTGATGTTCGGCCTTGACCTTCCTACAGGTCAAGCACCGCTCGATGTACCATGCCACATCCCGCTTCATGCAGGGCCACCAATAATCCAGACGAAGGTCCCTATACATCTTCATCGCCCCGGGATGAATAGAGAATCGGGACTTGTGCGCCTCCTCCATCAAAGTTTGGCGCACACCTCCGTGATACGGCACCCACACCCTACGATGTAGTGTCAATAGTCCCCGACTATCATAATAAAAGGAGGACACTTGACCCACTACACGCTCACTCTTCCGATGTTCCTCCTTGATAGCCTCCTGCTGAGCCTCCCGAATTTGCTCCAACAGGGGAGTCACCACGGTCATCCACAACCAGACGTCGCTGATCGGCGCGGCCTTGCGGCTAAGCGCATCGGCCACCACGTTGGCCTTACCCGGGTGGTAAAGGATCTCGCAATCATAATCCTTCACCACATCCAACCACCGACGCTGCCTCATGTTCAGATTCGGCTGATCCATGACGTACCTCAAACTCTTGTGGTCCGTGTAGATGGTACATCGAACCCCGTAGAGGTAATGTCGCCAGATCTTGAGGGCAAAAACCACCACCCCCAACTCCAAATCATGCGTCGGGTAGTTCGCCTCGTGAGGCTTGAGCTGCCTCGAAGCGTAGGCAATGACATGCCCCCTCTGCATCAGTACCGTGCCCAACCCAGAAATGGACGCATCACAATAAACCACAAAATCCTCTACGCCCTCTGGCAGGGCTAAGATTGGCACCTCGCACAATCTCTGTCTCTGCGTCTCAAATGCAGCCTGCTGCTCGGGCCCCCACCGAAAGACCACGACTTTCTTTGTCAGCCGCGTCAGGGGCACGGTTATCTTGGAGAAATCCTGAATAAATCTCCGATAGTAGCCTGCCAATCCCAGGAAACTCCGAATCTCAGATGGAGACTTCGGAACCTCCCATCTCATCACGGCCTCGACCTTGGCCGGATCGACCAGAATCTCATTCTGGTTGATGAGGTGTCCCAGAAATTGAACCTCGCGCAACCAGAACTCACACTTGGAGAACTTGGCATACAAGCTCTCCCTCCTCAGGGTCTCCAACACCTCCCTTAGGTGTTCCTCATGCTACTCCTGAGTCTTGGAATATACCAATATGTCATCGATAAAGACTATCACAGACCGATCCAGCATCGGTCTGCACACGCGGTTCATGAGGTCCATGAACGCGGCAGGAGCATTGGTGAGCCCAAACGGCATCACCACAAACTCATAGTGGCCATAGCGCGTCCGAAACGCAGTCTTCTGCGCATCCTCCTCCCTGACCCTCATCTGATGATAACCCGATTGCAAGTCAATCTTGGAGAACCAAGATGCTCCCTGAAGCTGGTCAAAGAGGTCATCAATCCTCGGGAGCGGGTAACGGTTCTTCACCGTTACCTTGTTCAGCTCCCGATAATCTACACACATCCGATGCGACCCATCCTTCTTTTTCACAAATAGGATCGGGGCTCCCCAAGGCAAACTGCTCGGACGAATAAATTCCTTGTCTAACAGCTCCTGCAGCTGTGTAGACAACTCCTGCATCTCGGGAGGAGCCAACCGATATGGTGCTTTGGCTATCGGAGCCGCACCAGGAACAAGGTCAATCCTGAACTCTA